AGCACCACATCACTCTGAAAAAGGGACAAGAAGGGAAACAAAGCTTGTCTGCTAATCTTGGAGAAAGCACTGAAACCAGTTATTTCCCCTCCTGGCTGGACATCTAAAACAGGGAAACAAAATACAAAAAAAACCCTTATGTTTGGGACACTTAGAAAACTTATATTGCTAAAAAGAACTGCTTTTTGCAGAAAGTAGACTATAGACCAAACATGATTGTCACCCATTGCCTCTTTTGCAAACCACAACACCCAATACGAGAGAGAGAACAAAAGGGAATGCCCTGCCACAGAGGCAGGGTGGAATGGGGGGGATGGTGGGTGGGAGGGATACTGGGATCCGTGGTGGTGGGAAATGGGCACAGGTGGAGGGATGGGTATTTGATCATTGTAAATTGAAACCCAAGCACAAAAATGTGTAAGTCTGCAACTGTACCTCATGATGCCTCACTATAAAAAAAATGAAAAAAAAAATTAAATCAGATTTGAAAAAAAACAAATAAATAAAAAATAAAAAATAGTTTACAATATAAATATAAAAAAAGAACTGCTTTTGGGCAATCATAGTGTCTACGTTCTAATATTGAAAATAAACAGGGAGGGTTGCATATATTTTTAATCTTCTATGCCAATTCTGAATTTCTTGGGTTTCTGAAAAGTCTTGGCCAACAACAAGAAATATCATTTGGTTTGATTTAAGCCAAATCCTGAAGAACTCAACCCAAGGATATGAAGCCACTGGATGTGCAATGCTAGGAAGACATCGATTTCTGACCTCAGTCTGGTGGGAATAGGGCCCCCTCTCCCCTCCTTCATTTCTGTTCCATTAGTTTTCCATATGAATATATCTGAAGAAATATTGATGGGAGGGAAAAACGACAAAAATTTTATGGGACACAGAAGTTGGGGTCTAGAAATCCTGAAATATTCTTCGTCTTTTTGGTTCCAACTATAATGTATCTCCACATCCAGGCCCTCTCTAGGTGAATTCTGTCTGCATCCCTGAGTCATAAGTTATGGGCTGAAATATCACCCTGCCCCCCAGATTCATACACTGACATTCTAACTTTCAGTACAGAGATAATATGAGAACTAAAGTAGACCATTTACTTCAATTAAGAAACCCAATTTGTAAAATCTTAATGTTGCAGGCAGAAAGATAGGGGGGGCCAAGATAATGTGTACTGGGAGAAAAATACTGTCTGCAACCTAAATCAGTTCAAAGTCAAGAAGGCCTTCCAGACAGCCACTCAAGGCGACCCAAGCTCAGGGCTTGTCAGGACTCTCTGGGAGAAAAGGGTCTAGCACTAGAACAAAGGCTCTAGTAAAGAATATAAAAAGAAGACCATCAACTGCTTCAGGAGCTTCCTCTTAGCAATCACCTTCACAAAAAAACTTTGAGGGGCAGTTTGCAAAAACCATATACAAGCCATATATAAACTAAGTTGGCAGAGGAAAAAGTGAACATCTGTCATTGCAGCACTCTTTACAATAGCCAGAAACTGGAAGAAACCTGAATGCCCAAGAACAGATGACTGGTTAAAGAAACTTTGGTACATCTACACAATGGAGTACTATGTAGCTGTTAGAAAAGATGAAGTCATGAAATTTACATACAAGTGGTACAATATGAAAAGTATCATGCTAAGCGAAATGAGTCAGAAAGAGAGGGATAGACATAGAAAGATTGCATTCATCTGGGGGATATAAAGTAACAAGTATGAGATTAATACCCAAGAATAGCTGAGATCAGCACCAGGAGGATTACTCCATAACTTAGAGGTCAGCCGGGTATCCTAGAGGAAAGGGCAGTTCAGATAGAGAAGGGAGCACCAAATAAAGGATGTTTGGAGGATCCTCCCAGGAGGGGAGATGCATGTCGAAAGTAGACTATGGACTGAACATGTTTGCCACTCAATGCCTCTTTTGCAGACCACAACACCCAAAAGGAGAGAGAGAACACAGGGGATTGTCCTGCCACAGAGGCAGGGGGGGATGGGGGGATGGGGGTGGGGGGGATATTATCCATGGTGGTGGAAAATGGGCACTGGTGGAGGGATGGGTATCTGATCATTGTATAATTGAAACCAAAGCACAAAAAATTATAAATTTACAACTGTAAAAAAAATAAAATAAAATAAAGGGGAAAAAAAAGTGAACATCTGTGAGCATCTCTGCTCAGATGTGTACTTACTTACTTCAGGGCACATTCCTGCTTGGGAATGTGTTTTGCTCTTTCCACTCTTGTGAAGTTTTTTTTTTCTCTCTTAAGCAAGTATTTCTTTCCTTCCTTTATTCCCCTCTCCCCCCCCCCCCACCCCCATAGGGGTCACTATTTCTTTCCAAATAAAATTCACTATTTCTTTCCTTTCAAAATTATTCCAGGTAAGGTGATGAATCTGGAAGGCCAAGATAGATTAGAACTGATTTACCTTTCCTGTACTCCAGTCATGATTTCTATGGCTCCCTAATAAATCAGGTGACAGGGGTCATTTCCTACTCAGGAGAGAACAAGTGGAATCAGGATGTGGTTTGCCAACTCTCTTGTGGGGTCACTGAAACATAACATGGGATCATGCTGATACTTATAGAGGACTCATTTTTTTTTCTTTTTGGGTCACACCCGGCAATGCTCAGGGGTTCCTCCTGGCTCTGCACTCAGGAATCACTCCTGGCGGTGCTCAGGGGACCATATGGGTTGCTGGGAATCGAACTCAGGTTGGCCACATGCAAGGCAAACGCCCTACCTGCTGTGCTATTGCTCCAGCCCCAGAGGACTCATTTTTTGATTTCTTTCTTTCTTTTTTTTTTGTTAGTGATACACCATGAGGTACAGTTATAGACTTACAAATTTTTGTGCTTGGATTTCATTTATACAATGATCAAGTACCCATTCCTCCACCAGTGCCCATCCTCCACCACCACGGGTCCCAGCATCCCTCCCATCCCCTGTCCCCCATCCCAACTTGCCTCTGTGGCAGGGCATTCCATTTTGTTCTCTCTCTCTCCTTTTGGGTCCTGTGGCTTGCAAGAGAGGCATTGAGTGGCAATCATGTTTGGTCTATAGTCTACTTTCAGCATGCTTCTCCCATCCTGGGAGGATCCTCCCAAGACCCTTTATTTGGTGCTCCCTTCTCTATCTGAGCTTCCTTTTCTCCTAGCACATGTGGCTGGCCTCCAAGTCATGGAGCAAAATTCCTGGTACTAATCTCGGCCATTTCTGGGTGTTAGTCTCCCATTTTGTTACTTTATGTTCCCCAGATGAATGCAATCATTCTGTGTCTATCCTGTTCTTTCTGACTCATTTCGCTTAACATACTTTCCACGTAGTGCCTCATTTTTTGATTTCTAATGCCTGGCATTTCCCCAGGTGATTCAGGTGGATAAAGGGAAAAGTACTTAACTCCCCGGTCAAAAGGGTTGCTGCCACTTTCCTTCCCACTTCTCTAGCATATAGCACTTCAAGGTTAAACAATGTCCAGTCTACAAATTCAAGGCAAGCCAATTAAATTTCCTTTTATAAACTTCATCTCCAGCGAGGCGAGAGGGCGGGATCCCCCCCCTGAGGCGGGAGGTGGGGTTCCTAGCACTTACATGTGTGTAGTAAAGCAACACATTTGCTATATGACCTTCCCAGCAGTAATGAGCAACTCTGCCTTAGGCCCTGTGGCCTTAATCAACCAGTAGGCACGCACTGTGTGGTGCTGTGTGCAAACATCCCAATTAGGCATGTGGAGACCAGCATGCTATGCGCAGTTCTTGAAACCAACTAGAGTATATCCTGGCAGCAGACCAAAAAAAAAATCCTACTAGACTGGACAGATGTTTTTGAATCCCCTTTGAGTACTTTAGGTACCTAGCCATATTCTCTTGCAAGCCCCAACACGCTGTTCTACAGATGGCAGAAGTATATACAGTTCTGTGTTCCTTGAGTACAAGCCTGTAGCAAACATTACCTGAATTTCTTCTTGGCCTCTCTGTACTTATGCTGAGAATCAAAGACTCCTGGGGCCTAAAATAGTGCTTCAGAATGTGACTGTTTTTGGAGTAGGGTCTTGAAGGAGATAATTCATTAAGGTGAGATGATTAGGGTGGTCTTTCCTAAGTGAAGAGGAAAGTATAGAGAAAAGACCTTCTGAGGATTTAGGAAGAAGATAATCTTTAAGCCAAAGTAAGAGATTGCAGAAAAAGTCAACTCTTCTGACACCTTGAACTTGGATTTATAGTCTCTAGAATTGGAAAATTAAAAAACAAAAACTATCCTATTGTTTTAACCAGTCAGTCTATGGTACTTTGTATGGCAACCTGTGCAAATTCAGACACTGTGTCTGGGAGCACTCTATTAAGGGAAGAATTCACCTCTGTAGTGGATAGGGCATGAAGCTCTTTGTAGAGAATTCAAGTCCCTCTCTGGTCTTCCAAATACACATGGCATCAGGGTATACAGGAAATCCCCACCTAAAAGCCACCTCCATTCTGTGCAAGAGGAAATATGAAAGATGTGTGGGTTAGAACTATGCATCTTGTTTCTAGCTCTTCTAGATCCAATTTGAGGAGATTGGAAAAGGATGGCTACTACTAAAATCCTTACACTTTTGAATCCTTTAAGAAAATTTGCCTGGACAAACCATGTAAAGCAAGACTGACTTAACAACAGAGCTCAGGAATCTCCAGTCCTCTTCAGAGCAACCACAGATATATAATCTTTGTCATAGCTTATAGCATACAAATGACTCACATAGGTACAGAAGTTTCAGGGCTGGACCTTAGGAGGGTTCTGAGTCTGGTGAGGACTCCTGGCTCAGCCATCCTGAGTCTGAGTAATCTAGCTGCCTTGTCACTGCAGCTGGCTGGCGTCCCAGCCCTGAGCTGAGTAATGGCTAACTGAACTTCCTTTGGGAGGGAGGAAACAGTTAAAGTCTTACGGCAGCTGCAATCAACTAGGCGTGGTTCTGTTGTCTGACTTTAGCTGCAGGATTCTGGGCCAAGGGGCAGAGGAAAGACAGCTGAGGTGGCAGAGTCTTCCAGATGGCTGAATTGGATCTCATGGTTCCAGGGCCACTGCCCGGAATCACTGCTCACCCTCTGGCCACTCTCAGCCCAGACTCTGAGCCAGAAAACCCAGGAGAAGAGGCCATGGGCTCTGTGGGGGAGCCTCGTGGAGACGCTGAAGCGGGGAGCGGCTCTGCAGAGCAAGGGAATCCTGGCGGTGATGGAGAGGAGGAGATCCTATGTGACTTCTGTCTTGGGGACAGCAGGGTGCGGGCAGTGAAGTCCTGCCTGACATGTATGCTAAATTACTGTGAGGAGCACTTGAGGCCACACCAGGAGAACAGCAAACTGCACAGCCATCAGCTGACTGAGCCGGTGAAGGACCAAGACCTCCGCACCTGCTCTATCCACCACAGCCCACTGGTTGCCTTCTGCCGCCCCGATCAGCAGTGCATTTGCCACGAGTGTAGCCAGGGCGACCACAAGGACCACACCTTAATCTCCTTGGATGATGCTCGCAGAGACAAGCAGGCAAGTACTGGGGTCTCTCTGGGAGAGGAAGGAGGAGAGTCCACGTACCAGGGTATTATCTTATTTTGTGTTGAGTTCACTTGGAAAGAAATGTAGTCCGAGTGTCTGGCTTTGTCCAGAGTAAATATCTCACTGGGCTTTTGGAATTGAAGTGACTTGTCCCCTTTTTATCCCTGTTGTCCCCGTACTAAATGCACTGTATTAACTGTCTCTGCGCTCACCTGCTGGCTCCTTGCTGTTCCTCATACAGCCTTTGGTCATTGGTATGTGCCTGCGTGTGGTGTACAGAAGGGGGAGGGAGAATTGCTCAGGGAAGTTATGTTCCTGTGGCTGAATTTGGCACATTCACTAGAAATTTATGAAATGTAAACCTTGGTAAAAATTCAAGATTTAAGAGTCCACCCTTTCTTTGAACAAAAGACCAGTAGAAGAGAGCAGCGTAAGACCTGATTTCAAAATTTGTTTTTCAAAAGAACAAAATGAGACCCCACTTTTCAATTGAAAACCGCAAGATCTCACAGAATTTGAAAATTACCTATAAGCAGAATGTGAAGGAGAGATCAACTTAGGGGAAATAAAACATCCTTATAGAGGTCAAGAAATACTAAGATCACTGTCTCTAATTTTATTCCCATAGGATAAGAATAACTAGTTTCCCGTTGCCCTAGAATTGATAGCCTAGGGTTCTTAGGAATGAATTTTGCTACTTTATGTGCTTCATTTCTCATACTTTAGCTTTCTGTGGGCACTTTATTTTTCTCAGTAGAGAAGTGTGGTTGATGTGTCCACATTCCTTATATTCTTGCTTCTGATTACTCCCTACTTGCAAAGCACATGGCTGTCAGGCCCACACATGGCGACTTTCAGGCCCACTGTTCCTGAGAAGTAAAGGAAAGAGGTTTCTGGAAAGGGTAGTTGTTTTTAGGGTGTTTCCTTCACACTTTTCTTCTAGTTGTGAATTTTATCAAGTTTTAATAGAATTATTTTGGAAGTTTCTGTAGTTCTGATGAAAGTGAATTATAGTTTCTACTCTGGAAGCCACTATTTTCATAGTATCCAGTGTAGGGGAGTGACCTGTTGAGAGAGGGGACACTGCCACTTTATTCCTACTTTCATAACCAATAGGAGTCTCGCTATTAGCAGATCACAGAAGGAGTATCATACCATTGAGAAAAATTGTTTTCCATCAACATTGCTAGATCTTAATGCTTTCCATGGGTTTTCTCATCCAATTTTCAAAATTTCTGAGGTGTTCTATATTGTTAGAGCATTGACATATTATGAATCTTAAATATGGTACACTCTTCTCTTCCGGGAGCTAGTTTTTATAGTCTCTGAATCTTGGCCGCTGATGGGATTACATGGCGCCAGGGGGCCTGTTGGTGGGTGTGACCCCTGCCTACTGGAATTTGGAGGATCTGGGTGGAGGATGCTCGGCCCAAATCCGAGTAGGCTTGGAGATCTCGGCCCCGGAACCCGCGTGACTTTGTCCCTCTGCCAGTACCTTCATGTGTGCGGAGAGTGGTCTCAGCATGGTGGTGGCTGGTCCTGGAGGTCTTTGGCTGCCGGAGCCCTGGCATTATTGAGACTTGGAATATTTGTAGGAAGGTTTTATAGAGCACGATGGGGGAGAGACTCCAAGTACGAACAATCTAGGAGAGAACTATGTAAGTTAAATTAGGACAAGGCAATTAGAGGCACTAAAAAGCAATCAATGATATGGGTACAATACGTCTCTCCCATGCCCAAGCTATTTATCATAGCATCCATTCATGAATAGCTGTATGGTCTGTATTAGAGACCTTGCTGTTTCCGTTGTGTGTTCTTGCTTGTAGCTCAGAAAACAATGCACTAGAAAACAAGATATATAGATGCACTCTCACTCTAGGTATTTTATAAAATCTTAGGAGTGAAAGATTTCTTGTAGGGAGCCCTAGACCACAGCTCAGCACATGATATCTTGGCGAGGTATCTGCAACTGCCAACAGAATTATTCTGCAAGTGTTATCAGACAAACAAAAGTTCCAGAAGCCCAACATTCCTTTTGGCTAGCCCAAGCACCTGTTGGAGGTTTTTTGCTGAAGGTCACTTTGGATCAGGATTAGGGATGATTATTCAATGCTTGCCTGAGTTACGTGTAGGAACTGCAAAGGGCAGGTTCAGCCACAAGACCATAAAGCTGCTGGAATTGTGTCAAAGCCCGGCACAACTTACTCACCTCCTTTTGGAAGCTCACCTGGTCTCTAGCTATGCTGGTGGAAAAAAAAAACCCCTCTGAATTAGAGAAGGGAGTACCAAATAAAGGGTGATGGGAGGATCCTCCCAGGATGGGAGGTGCATGCTGAAAGTATAGATCGAACATGATTGCCACTCAATGCCTCTTTTGTAAACCACAGCACCCAAAAGGAGAGAGAGAACAAAAGGGAATGCCCTGCCACAGAGACAGGGTGGGATGGGGGGGGGGTGGAGGTTGGGAGGGATACTGGGATCAGTGGTGGTGGAGAATGGGCACTGGTGGAGGGATGGGTACTTGATCATTGTATAACTGAAACCCAAGCACAAAAATTTATAAGTCTACAACTGTACCTCATGGTGTTTCACTAATAAAAATTTAAAAATAAAAAAATTTATTTAAAAAAAACCCTCTGAATTTTGGGAAGAGGGTGTTCTCTGATTACTTGTTCTAGTCTGTGGATTTCCTTATGGGAACCCGTTCTCTTTTACAGGGACCGTAGCACTTCTCTTTGCTTCAGACAATTTCCAGAGGTCTTTTCACTTTTTTTCCCCATTTTGGGGGGCTCCCTACTCGTGTACTTATCCAACCAGACCTGGCAGTTCAATGGCAGGGCCCATCGATTCAGAGGCATTTATCCAGGGACCATCCAGGTCATACCCAGAGGTGCTTGGAAACTTCTAGAAATACATGGCTATTCATTGAGGACCATGTGGTGTAATGGTACAGACAAAGCATGTACTCCTAACCCTTGACTGTGTTAAATTACGGCTTCTGTTCTTTTCACGTTTAAAGCAACTACCCTTCTCTGCTAACTGCTAACTTCTCTTACCTTCTCTGAGTCGCAGGATTGCTGCTTCAGAAAAAGACTGTGTATATGCATGCATGTGCGTGCATGCGTGTGTGTGTGTGTGTGTGTGTGTGTGTGTGTGTATTTTCAAATTTGCAATCCTCTGGCATTTCCTATTTCCCTGGCCCACGGTTCTTTCCTATTTCCTCTTGTGCTTACTAAATATTTATTATAAAGATTTCTAAAGGCTCAGCATGAATCTACACTGTCTATTCTTAGTGAGCAGGAGTGTCAAAGGACTGGGACATAAAATCACAAGTTTCAAGGGCTGGAGCGATAGCACAGCGGCAGGGCGTTCGCCTTGCACGCAGCCAACATGGCCGACCCAAGTTCGATTCCTCTGCCCCTCTCGGAGAGCCCGGCAAGCTACCGAGAGTATCTTGCCTGCACGGCAGAGCCTGGCAAGCTCCCCGTGACGTATTCGATATGCCAAACACAGTAACAACAAAGTCTCCAATGGAGACATTACTGGGCCCGCTAGAGCAAATCGTTGATCAACGGGAGGGCCTTTAGGGCTGGAGCGATAGCACAGCGGGTAGGGCTTCGCCTTATACGCGGCCAACATGGCCGACCCGAGTTCGATTCCTCCGCCCCTCTCGGAGAGCCCGGCAAGCTACCGAGAGTATTCGATATGCCAGACACAGTAACAACAAAGTCTCCAATGGAGACGTTACTGGGCCCGCTCGAGCAAATCGACGATCAAGGGGAGGGCCTTTACCTTACCTTTACCTCAAGGAAGGAGAAGTTCCGAGAGTCAGGTTAAGAGCAGGATTCTTGGATGCTAAGTCTGAACTAGGCCCTGTTTTAGATCGTGATGTCCAGAAGTGATAGGATGCTATATTCAGCCTCAGATTGCTTCAGGCCTGGATGCTGACCATGCATACTGGTCTCCATGTAGAGCAAGAGTCAGATTTCTGACAGATGCAAGTATTTGTGCTTCTCTGGGAACCGTAAAGCAGCATTGTTTTCTAACTATATGCTGGGAACCAAAAGGCAAATGATTCAAGGTTAATGAGAAAAATAGTGTTCTCCTAGAAATTCTGAGGAATTCCTTCCACTCAGTGTTCACATAAACCACCCTGCCCTCCCCCCACTTAAACATTCTACCAGGCAATTCATTTTTCAAGAGATTTTCAAATAAAATCTGTTTTCTTGAAAAGAACTGACATCTAAGATAGGCGATTAACCGGCTGAAGAGTGAAGCCAAGATCCAAGTAGAACTCTGGTGCCACCAAATGCATTCTTCGGAATGGCTACATCTGGCAAAGGCACTAAGAATTGAAGGCACCTAGAATTTTCTTCTGTTACCATTGCCTATGCTGATCTCCTTTGTGTCTCAAACTTGACTCCTGACTCTAAACTTCAGATACCATTTTGTCTGTAGATAGCAGCAAGAACAAGTCTGTGAACACATTCTCATAGTCGTGCTCCGAATGATTTGACAAAGATCATGCAGTCAGTAAGTGGTAGGCCTTCATATCTTTTACAAACATTTGTCATTACTTTATGGAAGCTGGCAGAACTCCATGCCCTTTGATAGAGGTCTGTCCACAGTGGTAGACTATTGACCTGCAAGAAAAAAAATCTATCTTGAGGTTCTCAGAGGCTAGTACCCAAGGATAGTAGAAACAAATGGCCAGAAGGACTAGTTCATGTTTGGAAGCTTGCCACAAGTTGGGGGATGGGGAGGGCAGTTAGAACAGAGGAGACCATTATGACAATAATAGTTGGAAATGATTACTTTTGACAATATCTGAGTGTTCAAAGGAGCTAAAATGATATATACGATAATCTTTCAGGATCTCTACTGCAAGATATAATGCCCCAAAGGAAAAAGACAAAGTGTGAGAGAGAGAAGGAAAATGTCTGCCACAAAAGTAGGCTAGTGGTTGGGGGCTGGTGGGAGGGAAACTGGGAACATTGGTGGTGGGAAACGTACACTGGTGAAAGGACAGATGTTGGAACATCATATGACTGAAACCAAAACATGAACAACTACGCAACTGTGTATCTCACGGTGAATAAATTAAATAAATAGATTAAATAAAATGTACTTAATATTAAAAGGCAATTAAATCTTTGTTTATATGTACCAGTTTTAAAAAATCAGATCTTCTGAATTCAAAGCTGTTGTGCTAACTTTCTAGCTCCTGTCCAGTTTTCTTTCTCCCCTCTTTTTATCACAGTACACCCAGGCCTGTGATCTATGTGTGGCTGACATCATGGGAAACTCTGAAGTAAAAATGAGACGCACTATTGTTTTCTAGAAACAGGAATAACCAGAGATATTGGTCTTTTAAAGTGGCTCCACCTTTTGTGGTAATTGGCAGTGTCTTCCCTTGAGATGATTCACTCAGAGAGGTTCTCTTTCAGTCCTTACGAACACCCTTTCTCCTTTTATGACAAGCTAATATTAGTAAAGAGAGTACCAATAGAATACTCACTGTATACTTTGTGAGAGGGGCTGGAGCAATAGCACAGCAGGTAAGGCTTGCACGTGGCCAACATGGCCAACCTGGGTTCGATTCCTCCGCCCTTCTCAGAGAGCCTGGCAAGCTACCGAGAGTATCTTGCCCGCATGGCAAAGCCTGGCAAGCTCTTCGTGACATATTCAATATGCCCTAAACAGTAACAAGTCTCACAGTTTGTTGTGAGACGTTACTGGTGCCCCTCGAACAAATTGATGAACAACAGGAGGGCAGTGCTACAGTGCTTTTGAATTCAATTGGCGTTGGCTACCTTATTGGATAAGTCTCCTGTGAGTCTAGGAGTCTGTAAGTCTGTGTGTAGCTCGAATGGATTCTGTTGTTTTCACTACCTTTAAACTATGAGAAGCTTTTTGTTTCTCCCACTTCCTTGCAATGATTTAGGTATAAGACAGATCAAAATCCAATTACCTTGTCCCTGCTCCCTGCCCCCAGTAGGCCATATCATCTGTCTCCCCCGTTACCCATTCTCCCTCTTTCCCTTCATCAAAATCTGGGGTATCAGTTCTCAGGACTGAGGAATGACAGTCACTGGGGCTCCCGCAGCTCTAAGTCAGTGCCCCAGAGCTGAGCAAATGTTATCTGTCTTCTGCAGACTGTCCTTGTGAACAAAGTCTGCCTACTCAGTCATCCCTCACAGTGGGCCTGGAATTTCCTGATGCTTTAGTGAAACAGAGAAACTTAATTCATGCCCTGTGAATTTTATTTGGGTAACATAACTCATAGCTTTGGATGCAGACACAGCTATTAAAAGCAGTTAAGGCTACAATTTATTTTTGTACGGGTTCATGCCCTTTTAGAAGCAGAAAAGTGCCAGCGCCTTTGATGTTTGCAAAGACTTAAGTACTATGTGTTGGCACACTTCTTCACTGAAGGCCCTAAGAGAATTTCAGGAAGAGAGAGTAAAGCTAGGAATGGAACCAGAGTAGGTAACCTTGAGGTTCTTAGGCACTTGACTTAACTGGGATTACTAACTCAGCCCACCTCTAGAAGTGACTAAGAGGTTTTGATAGGAAGCATCCATGGTGATATAACTAGATCTATGACTTAGATAATGACTAATACTATTGACATCTATGGGGCACTAAAAATGTGCTAGCTATTCTAGGAAGTTCTTTTTAATAAACATAATCTTTTTCAAACTTTTTAATTAAATATACTTTATCTATCCCCTTCAGAGGTGAAGAAATAGTGGTATAGAGACATTAGTAGATTTTTTTAAAGTTTCATCTGCTCAATAACAAACCTGGGGCCATCATCATCAGCTCTTAGTCTTTGCTTTTAGTCTGTTTTGGGACCAGAGAATCTGTGTTTAAATCCAGTAGTGAACTATGTGACCTTGTATAGGTGATTTCATTTTTATTATATGTGATATGGAGATAATAATATTTACCTGATAGGAGTTTGTTAATGATGGCATGAAATAATTCATATAAATGCTTGAAATATTAACCAAAAATAGTCCAAGATATATGATACCTGCATTTTAATCAGTGTGCTGAGTTTAACCTTCATAGGTATGGCTCATAGCTCACCTTTTGTGTCTTTATTTGGGGTGATTTAGGTGACTTTTTTTTGTTTTTAGTTTTTTGGTTTTTTTTTTCCTTTTTGGGTCACACCCAGCTATGCTCAGGGATTATTCCTGGCTCTGCACTCAGGAATTACTCCTGGTAGTGCTTGGGGGACCATATGGGTTGCCGGGGATTGAACCCAGGTTGGCTACGTGCAAGGCAAACGCCCTACCTGCTGTGCTACGCTCCAGCCCCTAGATGACTTTTAAGAGCAGATAGCAAGGTCAAACTATACTTTCCATGGAACAGAGATAAATATAAGTACCAGCATTCCTTGGTGCCTTCTGTGTGTATCAGGGTCCTTAATTCTTAGCATTGTCCTTTTCTCTTCTTAGGCTGAACTTCAGCACACTCAGTCAGACCTGGAGAGGAAACTCAAGTTGAATGAAAATGCTATCATGAGGCTCCAAACCAACCACAAATCTGTTTTGGTAAGTCTGGTCTTGATCCCTTGCCACCTGGATATTGTTGAAGGCTGATCTGAACCTATCTGAAGTTGTGGGACAGGGTATAGGTACAGGCTCTATCTCTATATCAAGAGTTTCTCAGCAAATGAGAACTGTAGATACAGATGTAATAAATCACACCATGGGGCAATCTCACTATGAGAATTTACTATGAAATTAGTTTAAGGTGAAAAATTGGTAAGCATTTACTTTTTAATACTATTGTAGAAGGAAGTCTAGTCTAGTAATATCAGCATTCTTCACATAAGCATATGATTTTTGTCGAGGAGAAAGGATATTTGTAAGAACAGCTTGTGGGAATAGTGGTGCCAGGGGTTATGTATAATCTTAACTTCTTCCCTCATAGAAAGGTGTTCTTTGTATTTGAATCTCATTGGTCCCATATCCTGGCAGGGAGAAGAAAATGTTGAGAATTGTCAGATGAGAAAGCGGTACTTGATAAGGTCAATGATATGCCAGACTACTTAGCTTTAGTCTTTCTGGTTCATAGTTATTTTCCACATAAGCCCAAACATTCCAAAAATGCTTCTCTCTAGTGCTGTAGTGAGTCAAAAACCACAGCTCAGAATATAATGCAAAACATCTTTACAATGGCAGTGAGAAGTATCATCTTTGCATACCAAGAATTGTATCCACTCATCCATCCATCCATCCATCCATCCATCCATCCATCCATCCGTATTTTATACACAATCGTAACCTACGATGTTTGATCTTGGGCACATCACTTATTTTAACCGTGTCTAGGTTTCCTTATCCAAAACATGAAGACCCAAACAGTATTAACCTCTTAGGGTTGTACTAAAATAATAAGCCTAAAGTACTGAGAGCTCTGTCTGGCACATAATAATCATTTACTGAGTGTTGGTTGTCATTATGGTTACTATTTTAAATTGAAAGTGACCAGACAGCAGATGGGTCTTTATTCATGATTGAGTGGGAACAGAAGTAGGAAAAAAGTCAGAATACTACTGTGCCTGGCCTTTGTGAAGTCTTGGAAGGATTCTCAGGTCATAATGTACTCATTGCTCAGACACTTCTCTGAACCAGAGCCTGTTTTCGTCTCGTTTCCATCTCCTCTATCTCCTGTCTGCATCTATCCCAGCTAAGAGCTATCTATGCAGCTGGTCCTTAAGAGCGAGGGCCAGCCTGAACATTCAAGTTCCAGATGCATTCCTTTGGGTTTCTCAGACTGTTTCTCTGGTTGCTTTTTCTTGTCAACATGGTGGTGTGGGTCTCATGCCTTATTGATAGTGATACTCTTGGTTAAGGAATGCTTGGTGGAGTTACCTGGACTGGATTTCTCATATCAAGTTACCATAAACCTTTATTGTGACTGAACCGAATCTATTGTGATTCTTCTTATTATATTTGCGGGAGACATTCCACCAACAACCATTATGACAGGATCTTTATTTATTTTTTATTTTTAAAGCTTCCAAGCAGTCTTTAGGGCTCTCTTGCAGTGATTTCTGGCCAGCCTGACAGTAGTTGAATGTTAATAGCCTAAAAATTTGGAGACACTTGAACCCTCCAGTGCTGGGGATTACCGGGTCTACCCTGGCAGTACTTGGCATCCTTGGGTCTGTAACTATTGATGCTTAGGGGACAATATAATGCTGAGTATTGAACTGGGTTTGACTGTAAATAATCCCTTAACTTCTAACTCTTAGATTACCCATTAGGGATCTTTAAGATAAAAAATTATTACCCCCAGGTTTTCAAGTTACCAATTATGCCAGGAACAATAGAGAAGTCAAGGGGGGGCATAGGGAGAAAGTAGAGTGAGTAAACTTAGGTTTGGAGTTCTTCATTTATTGGAATAAAAGGTTGAGATAGCTAGTGTTCACAGGCTCACTTTTTATTGGCTAATTTAAATAAAAGAGTAGAGGGGAAACAGCATCACTCAAGCTGTCATTTTCCTAGTCAACTATGGACTTTTAAAAGGGCAGCTCCTTGGGTGAATGCAGTCTAATTCCTTATCTAGTAATATTAGCCATGTCATATATCTGTCCCACGTGTCAATGTGTTTATTCCAGGTGATGTCTTCCGGAATGAATGCTTTGGAAATATAAAGATTATTCGCAGGCACTTAAACTGTAACCACCATCTATCTAAATTTTCTTCTTGATTTGGGTTCAAGGAAGTTGGAGAAAAATATCTCATGTTCACCAATCCTTAATCCCATTTAGTAGCTCTAGTTTTATTCAGCTGCCCCAAACTTGAAGGAAGCCAACAGGTGATGAAGCAACTATCATAAACATAAGAACGTAGGGAGGCTCTTTCTTCCCAATGCCGACCCCTCAAGTAAAGGTGCTTTCCCTTCCTTTCCCTTTCTACTTTCCAGCTCTTTCTAAATTTCAAGGTTTCTACAATCCTGGAACCACACTTTTTTGATTCTCCCTGTTTCTCCCTCTTTTCCTTGCAGAGGGAGATGTCCTTGTAGTTTGGCCCGATGAGGATCTGTTGCTTTGGCTCCCTTTGGAGTTCTGTATGACCAGGCAAATGTATACTTGGTCTTGGGGAAAGAGTTGAGAGATCTCTTAGTGGGGATGATGGTGGGTGCAGACAATGTACAGACTGAGTCAGGCAGAGACTGGACTCTGAACTGTGGGTTAGGAGTAAAGAGAATAAAGCAAACTGTCATTAGAACCTTGATTTCAAGGAATTTTAAAGAATCTGGAGCGATAGCACAGCGGTAGGGCGTTTGCCTTGCATGCAGCCAACATGGCCGACCCGAGTTCGATTCCTCCGCCCCTCTCGGAGAGCCCGGCAAGCTACCGAGAGTATCTCGCCCACACGGCAGAGCCTGGCAAGCCACCCGTGACATATTCGATATGCCAAGCACAGTAACAACAAAATCTCCAATGGAGACGTTACTGGGCCCGCTCGAGCAAATCGGTGATCAACGGGAGGGCCTTTACTTTACTTTACTTATATTGCTTATAATAGATTAAATTAAACACTATCAGAGGGAAATTTCAACAACAGTACTTAAGAATTACTAAAGAAAAAAAGTCTTTTAAAACTGGGATTGATGTAAATGGAAAATATATTGATTGCTGGAATTCATAAATAGTTCATCTTGTGAAAGAATACTCACACAAGAGTAATCATGCAAATTCTTACTACTTGTCACAGTAATCTTATCTTTTATTTTAGCATTCCATCTTGCATAGAAATGCTCATTATACTATTATTGGATCATTTACATGGTTATCTATGCAAATAGTGAATATATTGTGTCTGGCAGAGACACAAACAGAGATGTGTCTTCACTGATGTTTTGTGCACCTCAGACACATGAAATACTAATTCAGGTAACTGATTTGTATAAATAATTTAATACAAGACATATGATTATTAAGTATATTGAACGCATGCATTATTCTAGTAGGTAAACTTAGTTCATGAATCTCAAATTATGTTCAGGCTGTTGAGCTTGAAGGCATTTTAAAGATAACATAATTCACTCATCAAATAAATGAGGACACTTAACAAAAAAAGAATAAATAAATACTTACTGAGAGTAAATCCTTTTTATGAAGAACCCAGTATTTTTTAAAATTTTTTTAATTTCATAAGGTAGTTCAAAATATTTGATTACATTTAATATTTAAATATCAATCCCACCACCATTACACCTTCTCACCACCACATTTGGAATGTTTCTGTCCCAAGTTCCAAGCCCTGTCCCAAAGCACAATGATATTTTATTTTATATTTTGTATAATATTATCTTTATAATATAATATTATATTTATAATATATTATAGTAAAGTAAAGGTAAAGTAAAGGCCCTCCCGTTGTTCGTCGATTTGCTCGAGCGGGCCCAGTAACGTCTCCATTGGAGACTTTGTTGTTACTGTGTCTGGCATATCGAATATGTCACGGGGAGCTTGCCAGGCTCTGCCGTGCGGGCGAGATACTCTCGGTAGCTTGCCGGGCTCTCCGAGAGGGGCGGAGGAATCGAACTCGGGTCGGCCATGTTGGCTGCGTGCAAGGCAAACGCCCTACCGCTGTGCTATCGCTCAAATGATAAAAATTACAAAATCATAAAACTACATTATAAAAATCATAAAAATTATAAAATCATAAAAATATTTTATTATAGTTATAAATATTTATATAGTATGTTTATATATTTATTATTTATTAAACAATAAAAAGGTAAAAGGTAAAGGCCCTCCCGTTGATCGTCGATTTGCTCAAGCGGGCCCAGTAACGTCTCCATTGGAGACTTTGTTGTTACTGTGTCTGGCATATCGAATACTCTCGGTAGCTTGCCAGGCTCTCCGAGAGGGGCGGAGGAATCGAACTCGGGTCGGCCATGTTGGCCGCTTGTAAGGCGAACGCCCTACCCACTGTGCTATCGCTCCAGCCCATTAAACAATATATTATTATATAACATATACTATCTTTATAATATATATTTTATTGAAACACTGTGAGAGCAGTTACAAAGTTTTCAGTTTAAGTCTCTGTCATACATGATGAAACACCTGACCCTTCACCAGTGCACACTTTCCACCACCAAACCCCCCAATATTCCCCCCATCTCACCCTCACCCCCTACCTGTTTGGCAGACGATTTCCACGTTACTCTCTCTCTACTTTGATTACATTAAATATTTTGACACCAAAACCACCATTATTATTTGGGATTTTACCCCAACACTCAGATCTGTTGAAATGGCAACATTAAACAATTTGTTTTGTATTGCTGATTTGTTTTCTATTGCATTTGATGACCGTGGCTGCAATAGTGGCCACATGATTTTGGAATTCTTAAATTTCAATAATTAAATCTGGAGGGATTTCTGCCAAAAGCTGCTGTGTTCCGAGCTTTGTTTCTGAATCTCTGGGATCATGGCCAATTAACAGCTTGATCAGCAGCCAGAGGGCTTGTTTGTGGGCGGCAACTCAGGGTCTAGTGGCGGGGGAGGGAAGGGCCGGTTCCACCCCCATTCCATGAGGCCCTGTGTTCCTTGTCACTGCGGGTCACTCCCTGGCTGTCCCTAGGCCTCTGCAGGAGTGTGGTGGTGACCAAGCAGCCAGGGGAAACAGGCCAAGGCATGAAACCCATTCCTACTTGGGGTGGTCCGGCCCCGGAAACCTAATGCGTAGTCTGAATGCATTTCTGCCAAAAGCTGCATGTTTGATATTCAGCAATACAACGATCCATCACCCATCCCTCCATTAGTGCAAACTTTCCACCACCAATATCCCCATGATCCCCTCCTTTTTCCATTCCAATCCTTACCCTGCATCTACGACAGACAATTGTTCAGATACTCTATAGTTTTGGGCATTATATTTTGCTTGGATAGTCCCACCACCATTCAAGCCTGCCTTCTAGGGGCAGATGCTAAATCATCTATTTTCCATTGCTCACCCTGTATATCAGGAAAGATCGCAGGGCGGCATTAGCAGCCATGAGGTTCGGAGAAATAGTCCTGGTCTCCACATACCGGAGCCATGCTTGTAGAATCCCAGGGTTGCCAGGATTCCATCTGGAGAAGGCGGGGAGACTGCACCTGCTCCATCTGGGGCACCCTGGTGATATCTGCTCAGTTTGGGGCCCAGAGCATTCTCTGGTGTTGGGTTGCCTGCCGGCCAGGATTCTTCACTGCTGAGTCAACATATTTTTATAATATTATTTTACAAATAATACAAATAATATTTTGTACTATTTGTTATGAAAAACTGCTGCAAATGCTAGATAAAAGTATCTATATAGTGTAAAGATGGTTATATTTTGGCAGGGGCCATTGAGACCTTCTATAAGATATCACTAACATGTTGTTAAAGGTTAAGCCTTGTGAACTTTCATATATATATTTATCTGTAAATATATATATGCATATATATTTCCCTCTATGATTGATCACCTACTATTTGAACCACATCAAACTGGTGTGGTACTCTTGAAGAATGGGTAGGGAGTGTCTTATGATGTGTATAGGAATAGGTTCACTAGGGCATGAGGCTCAGTCAGAGCATGTGGGGAGTGGCCTTGAGCATGGCGGCATTTGGATCCTGGAGGGTTTCAGATGCTGGGGCTGGGAGAGCTCTCACCCACCCCCCTTGGGGCAGGGAGAGCTCTCACCCACTCCTACCCTGGGCACCCAGAGTGAAACAGCCTGGCATGCAGTCCGGTGGCATAGCTATGGCGAGCGTCATGCTATGCTCCCTTTGGGGAGAGAAGGACATGTGATCTGGATGGTGACCAATGATGAGATTATATGGGGCCAGCCAGAGGTGGCTTTTGGGCGTGACTGCTGGGTCGCTGAAAACAGGGGGAACCAGGCAGAGGATCTCTGTTCCAGGTCCCATTAAACCCAGAGTTCTCAGTCACAGAGTTCCGCATACCTGAATTTTGTTGGACTTCACTTGTAAGAACTCAGTATTCATATGGAGTAAAAAGTTTCCATTTATGGGCTGGAGCAATAGTACAGTGGGGAGGGTGTTTGCCTTGCACTTGGCTGACCCAGGTTCAATTCCCAGCATCCTATATGGTTCCCAGAACACTGCTAGGAGTAGTTCCTGAGTGCAGAGACAGGAGTAACCCTGAGCATAGCTTTGTGTGACCCAAAAAGCAAAAAAAAAAAAAAAAATCCATTTATAATGAAAAAATGGCTCTTTAATTTACAGGTTTCTCATGTTTGTATTTCTTTCTTTTTTGCGGGGGGGGGGGGTAACATCTGGAGATGCTCAGGGATTACTCCTTGCTCTGCACTCAGAAATTACTCCTGGTGGTGCTTAGGAGATTACACGGGATGCCAGGGACTGAACCTGGGTCAGTTGCATGCAAAGCAAATGCCCTGTCTGTTGTACTATCACTCCCTTCCCTCATGTTGGTATTTCTATAATGCACTTTGATAAAGTTGGATACTTCACTAACAAGTTCCTTGTTACACTGCTCTCTTTTTTACTCCAATCCCTCAGGTGTCTGTGTCAGAGGTGAAAGTGGTAGCTGAGGAGAAATTTGGGGAACTCCTTGCTGCCATGAGGAAGGCCCAGGCTGACGTGATGCTCTTCTTAGAAGAGAAGGAGCAAGCTGCCCTGAGCCAGGCTAATGGCATCAAGACTCACTTGGAGTACAGGAGTGCAGAAATGGAGAAGAACAAGCAAGAGCTGGAGAGGATTTCTGCCCTTAGCAATACTGTCGTGTTCCTGGAGGTATAGTCAGGGTTGGGATCAAGGGGTTATGCATAGAGATAATCATCCAACCTAATAACGGGTGCCAGTCTTACTCTGAGAGACTCATGGCAGATGTGGTAATGGAGCTCACTTTGGTAAGTGTTATGTTTAGGAAACTATGGGGAAAGAGAGGAACAGGTCTTGATTCAGCAGACTACAGGAATACGGGAAGGGAAAACTCAGAGTGAAGAAATCGGAAACAGGTCATGAAGATGAGTAATGTCCAAGGAGAAGATATGATTGCAGGAGTGAGAATAGCGTGTGAGAAGCAGAAAAGTTTGAGAAAGTATGAGTGATTTGGAGAATCAGGCTATTTTCTTAAAGGGGCGTGGAATGCTTGGATTAGAGTGAAGGGAGCTGTTTCTGAAAGCAAGGAGGCCATCTGTATGTGGGAGATGTTTGTTCTTTATTAAGAAGTTAGAGAAGCCAGTGGGTGAGGAAAGAATGGGAAAGTTGACACCTGATAAATGTGTTCTGTAAATTTACAGTTTGTGACTGGCCTCACAGATGTGCGGGGAAAAAAAGCTCTGTGTGTTGGGATGGTTGAGGAAGGTTCCAGAGAGAAGAGGTGACTTCTCGTTATGATGTGCCAGCCATCATAACTTTAGCCACGTGTATGATTTACAATATGAATTTTGTATATTAGCAATACTGTCATATTCCTGGAGGCATAGTCAGGGTTGGGGTCAAGGGGTATGCAGAGAGAAAATCATGCAACCTGATAAGAGGTGTCAGTCTTACTCTGGTTATTTCTGAGAATATGAAAAGATGTGTTATCTAAGAAATACTAGACTGTAATATCACTAAATATGTATTGGTGACAGGTATTGAATAGCTATAATTATGGAGGTGTGAAACTTAGAACTTTCACAATGTTGTAAATCACTGTTACCTCAATAAGAGGAAAAAGAAGGATGGGAGGAAGGAAATAAAAAAGGAAGAAAGGGAGAGATATGATGGAAGGACTTAATATAGGAATCATAATCCTGGTCATGATTGGTCAAACTATCAACATTTGTATTATGTTGGTGGTTGTGATATGACAGTATATACTTTGAATAATTTTAAATATGTACTCTTAAAATAATAATAGGCATGCAAACTAAGATTTCTTCTTTAAAAAGACAAAAAGATGAAAAATAAAGCAGGTTTTATTAAATGAGCACTGGGTTCAGTATAAATTCCATCCTAGATTTGTTTCTAAATGGTTATATAGCTTTTAGTAAGTTAATCTTCCTTATTTATTAGACTACTGTGATAGCACAGCGGGTAGAGCGTTTGCCTCGCACAAGGCCGACTTGGTCGACCCGAGTTTGATTCCTCCGCCTCTCTTGGAGAGCCCGGCAAGCTACTGAGAGTATCTAGCCTGAATGGCAAAGCCTGGCAAGCTACCCGTGATGTATTCGATATGCCAAATATAGTAACAACAAGTTTCACAATGTTACTGGGCCCGCTCGAGCAAATCAATGAGCAACGGGAGGACAGTGACAGTGACAGTGACTAATAAGGTTGAAGCAAATAACTTCCGATTAGCCTTTGACTATAATTTCACATACAAATAATTTTTTGATTGTCAATTGATTAAAGATCCCTGTAATTAAAAATTATTTGAAAAAAGACTTGTCAAATACAGAAAAGAAATGAAGATAAACAATTATCCATTTGCATACTACCCATTTGCAAAGATGACCATGGTTAACCTTATAATGAATGAAAATAAAGACAGTACTAGATACAATATATCAGTTTCTGTTGGGCTCTCTGCTTTTCAATATCAAAACAAAGAAAATAGGCATGAACATATAGCCTGTCATGAGCTTGTCCAAGATCTCTTACCAACAAATGTACAGTAATTTTAAAAAATTCTTTCCTTATTTTATAACTTAAGTATAAAAACTATTATAAGTATAATATATATTTAATGACTTATTTATTCTTGGTTCTTTCCCCACAATTTTTTTAGTTAATTGAAATGACAATGTGTATCAGAGTGGCCCATCCTTTCCTCTGACTGATGTAAAATGCCACATAATGTAAAATGTCACACTTATTATGTATTACACTAAAAACGATTATAAAGATACTAAAACATGTATCTTTCTATCAGATTTCTGACTTGGACCTTTTATTTATTTATTCTTACATTTTTAAATTGAATTACCATGAGATACAGTTACAAAGCTCTCATGTTTGAGTTTCAGTCATACAATGATCAAACACCCATCCTTTCACCAGTGCACATTTTCTACCACAAATGTCCCCAGTATCTCCCTCCACCATCCCATTACCTCCCCCTGCCTCTATGGCAGACAATTTCCCCCATACTCTCTCTTTTGGGCATTATGGTTTGCAATACAGATACTGAAAGGCTATCATGCTTGGTCCTTTATCTACTTTCAGCACGCATCTCCCATCCTGAACTATTCCTTCAACCATCATTGACTTAGTGATCACTTCTCTATCTCAATTGCCTTCTCCTCCAGCTCATGAGGCAGGCTTCCAACTGTGGAGCAGTAGTCCTTGCTCTTGTGTCTACTGTCCTTGGGTGTCAGTCTCATATTTTATATTTATATTTCATATTTTATTTTATATTCCACAAATCAGTGCAGCCATTCTCTGTCTCTTTTTCTGATTCATTTCACTTGGCATGGCAGTCTCCAAGATCATTCACTTATAAGTAAAATTCATAACTTTATATTTTCTAAGAGCTGCATCGTATTCCATTGTGTAGATGTACCAAAGTTTCTTTAACCAGTCATTATGTTCTTAGGTTGTTTCCAAATTCTGGCTATTGTGAACAATGCTGCAATAAACATACAGGTGCAGATGTCATTTCTACTGTGCTTTTTTTCACCCTTGGGATATATTCCCAGAAGTGGTATTCCTGGGTCATATGAAAGTTCAATTTCTAGTTTTTTAAGGAATGCCTATATTTGTTTTCCCAAAAGGCTGGCCAGTCAGCATTCCCAGATTTGGACCTTTTATTTCCAAAATTTGGACCTTCTATTTACACCAAACTATCTCTTTCATTGATCTATCTAACCTTCTTGGTACAAGAAGGTTTATTTTTTATTATTAAGTTTATTATTATTTTTATTATTTAAATTTATATTTTTTAGTATTTATTTTTATTATTGTTTCCTGCTGTATTCAATTCTACTCAGCTGTGTTTGAATATTGATGTTATATCCTAGAGAAACCTTTCTTGATAACTGTATTGCTTTTTAAGGTCATGTTTGAGCCCCAAACCACAATACTGGAATTAGAGACATTCTGTATGGTTAAATGACAAGAACATGACAGCATTCCTCTCTGAGGATTTATTTATTGATTTCCAAGTTAAGCATGAGCTTCTTATTCACACACATACAAACACACACAGACAAGGAATAAATAGGTGATTGCCATTTGATTTCTTCACATAAAATGTGTTCTTATTCTTGGTCTGCAGAACGGATTTTGTGTACTGGGGCTATCCCTGGTCAATTTGTAATTAATTTTTTAAAGTCTACTTTCACAGTTAAAAAAAAAGAATGTTTTCTATGTTTTTTGACAGAAAACTGTACTCCTTATATACAGTTTGTTTGTAAGAAGTATATTGCCATCAAACCTCTAAAATCTAAGGGCTCATAACCAGGGGTTCAGGGCTTACTCCTAGTTCAACACTCAGGGATCAATTCTAGAAATTAAGAATGAACCAGATGGGCTACTTGGGATCAAACTGGCTGTGTTTGGCTGTATCAGGCAAGTGCCTTAGGTCCTCTCCAGTCCATGGCATCCACTCATTCTGTAGATGAAGAAAGTGACTAAAGGAGAGAGCAGCTCAGTTTAAGAAGTACAGAAAAAGGCAAACTTTTCCTTATTTTTTTTTTTATACAGGAGTACTGCAAATTTAAGAACATGGAGGATAGTGCTTTTCCCAGTGTCTACATAGGATTCATGGATAAGCTCTCGGGAATCCGCAAGGTCATCATGGATGGCACCGAACACATAATCAATTTACTACAAAATTACAAGAAAAATCTCCAGGAGTTTGCCAAGGAAGGTGAGAATCTTAGATGTGGCATATGGTACATTGTTTAAGTCAAAGAGCATCTCATTTAAAAAAAATCCTCAAACAGATCTTGTTGCTGAATATTTATTGGATGACAATTTTTTTTTTTGTGATAGAGATTCAGGGAAAGTGAATTGGCCTTACTCTGTAACTGACTAGAATTTCTCTGACTAGTTTCCAAGGTTGTTTGATCTGTATTTTTAAGTAAAATATATGAGAGGAATGTGATCCATTGTAATTTTTATCTGAGACATGATGAGACCCAAGTCCCTTTTTCACCCGGGAAGTCTTCTGAGAGTGGCCGGGAAGTCCAGTGTCCTAGGTTATCCTGATCACCAGGGAAGGTGTGCATTAATAACTCTGATTGTTTTAGAGGAATATGACATCAGAACCCAAGTATCTGCTGTTGTGGAGCACAAGTATCGGACTTCAAAACCTGAGCCCACTACTAGGCAACAGTTCCTCCAATGTAAGTTGTGAATAGATTATCTTCCTAACTGAAATTAATGGGGGCTTAAAGAATATTACTGTCTCAGGGCCGGAGAGATGGTACAGGAGGTAGGTTGCTTGCCTTGCATGCTGCTGACCCGGGTTCAATCCCCGGCATTCCATATGGTTCCCTGAGCATCACCATGAGTAACTCCTGAGTTCAGAGCCAGGAACAAGCCCTGAGCATTGCCAGGCATGGCCCCAAAACACAACACACACACACACACACACACACACACACAGAGAGAGAATAACACCACACCATCTCTCATAAATCTTTCTAGTACTTATATACCAGTATTATATAGTTACAGTATATTGATCCAAATGAGCATTGAATATTACCTCAACACTATTAGTAATCTACAGGATTTTTTCAAGTTTCACCAAATATTCCACCAATGTTATTTTTCTGACCGAAAATTTTGTTTAATATCACAATATTTCCACATCTTCTTAATCGTTTCCATATTATTTAATACTTTTAAAGGAACTGAACAATACTATATGTTTGTTTTTCATGATCTTGGCACTTTTGAAAATCATTTGTCAGTTACCAAATTATTTTCTTTCAAGTCTGTCTTGGTCAGAACTGCACACTCCATGTTCTATTAATACGTGGCATTGACAAGTCTATGGAATTAATTCATGTTTATATATATTTTATAGTTTATATAAATTCTAAGGGGCTGGAGCGATAGCACAGCGGGTAGGGCGTTCGCCTTACAAGCGGCCAACATGGCCGGCCCGAGTTCGATTCCTCCGCCCCTCTAGGAGAGCCCGGCAAGCTACCGAGAGTACTCAATATGCCATACACAGTAACAACAAAGTCTCCAATGGAGACGTTACTGGGCCCGCTCGAGCAAATCGACGATCAACGGGAGGGCCTTTACCTTTACCTTATAAATTCTAAAAATCTGTATAGATATATGCATATATATTTATAATTAATATAATTTATGCATACTACAAATTTTATAATTGATTGTTATAACTCATATAATTTATATAGATATATAGTTCAATTCTATTTTACTTTTATTTATTTAAACACCATAGTTTTTTCTATTAAAACTATTTTTTTTAATTTTTATTTTCTTAAAAATTTTTATTAGTGAAACACCATGAGGTACAGTTATAGACTTACAAATTTTTGTGCTTGGGTTTCCGTTATACAATGATTGAGTACCCATACCTCACCAGTGCCCATTCTCCACCTCCAATGCTCCCAGAATCCCTCCCACCCTCCCATCCCCCTATCACACCCCACCCTGTGGCAGGGCATTCCCTTTTCTTTTCTCTCTCCATTTGGGGGCTGTGGTTTGAAAAAAGAGTCATTGAGTGGTAATCATGTTCTGTCTATAGTCTACTTTCAGCATGCATCTCTCATCCTGGGAGGATCCTCCCAACACCCTTTATTTGGTGTTCCCTTCTCTATCTGAGCTGCCTTTTACCCTAGCATGTGCAGCTGGCCTCCAAGCCATGGAATAAACCTCCTGGTACTTATCTCAGCTATTCTTGGGTGTTAGTCTCCTATTTTGTTACTTTATATTCCCCAGAAAAATGCAATCTTTCTATGTCTGTCCCTCTCTTTTTGACTCATTTCACTTAGCATGATACTTTCCATGTAGTATCATTTGTATGTAAAATTCACGACTTCATCTTTTCTAAAAGCTGCATAGTACTTCATTGTGTAGTTGTACCAAAGTTTCTTTATCCAGTCATCTGTTCTCTGGCACTCGGGTTTTTTCCAGATTTTGGCTATTGTGAATAGTGTAGCAATGAACATACAAGTGCAGATGTCATTGCGACTGTACTTTTTTGCCTCTCTGGGATATATTTCCAGGAGTGGTATTGCTGGGTCAAATGGGACCTCAATTTCTAATTTTTTGAGAATCATCCATACTGTTTTCCAAAAGGGCTGAACCAGTTGGTATTCCCACCAGCAGTGAAGGAGAGTCCCTTTCTCGTCACATCCATGCCAACACTGGTTGCTTTTGGATGTGGGCCAGTCTCTGTGATGTGAGATGATATCTCATTGTTGTTTTGATTTACATCTCCCTGATGATTAGTGTTGTAGAGCATTTTCTCATGTGCCTTTTTGTCATCCGGATTTCTTCTTTGGGAAAGTTTCTGTTCATTTCATCACCCCATTTTTTGATGGGGCTAGATGTTTTCTTCTTGTAGAGTTCAACCAGTGCTTTGAATATCCTTGATATCAACCCCTTATCAGATGGGTATAGGGTAAATATCCTTTCCCATTCTGTAGATTGTCTTAGTATTCTGGTCACTGTATCTTTTGAGGTGCAGAAGCTTCTTAATTTAAGATAGTCCCATTTGTTTATCTCTGTTTCCCTTGGTTGATCAGTGGAGTGTCGTCTTTGAAGATATTGTTAGCCTCGATATCGTGGAGGGTTTTGCCGACCTTGTCTTCAATGTACCTCATAGATTTTGGCCTGATGTTGAGATCTTTATCCATTTTGATATGACTTTTGTGCATGGTGTTAAGTCGAGGTCTAAGCCCATTTTATTGCACTTGGTAGTCCAGTTGTGCCAACATAATTTGTTGAAGAGGCTTTCCTTGTTCCTCTTCACATTTCTTGCTCCCTTATCAAAGATTAGATGTTCATATATTTGGGGTTGTGTGTACGAATATTCCACCCTGTTCCATTGGTCTGCGGCCATGCCTTTGTTCCAGTACCATGCTGTTTTAATTATTACCGCTTTGTAGTAGAGTTTGAGGTTGGGGAGGGTAATGCCTCCCCACATTTTCCCACCAAGAATTGTGTTAGCTATTCGTGGGCGTTTATTGTATCATATGAGTATCAGGAGTGGTTGATCTATTTCTTTGAAGAATGTCATGGATATCCTCATAGGGGTTGTGTTGAATCTGTGTAATGCTTTTGGGAGTATTGCCATTATGACGATGTTAATTATTCCTATCCATGAGCAGGGGATATGTTTTCATTTCCTCATGTCCTCTTTTATTTCATGGAGTAGTGTTTTGTAGTTTTCACTGTAGAGGACCTTTACCTTTTATGTTAGGCTTATTCCAAGGTATTTGATTTTCTGGGGCACAATTGTGAACGTTATTATTTTTCATGTCATTTTCCTCTCTCATTATTTGCGTATAGGAAGGCCATGGATTTTTGGGCATTGATTTTATAGCCTGCGACTTTACTGTACAAGTCTATTGTTTCTAGGAGTTTCTTGGTAGAGGATTTAGGATTCTCAAGATATAGTATATCATCTGCGAATAGTGAGAGCTTGATTTCTTCCTTTCCTATCTGGATGCCATTAATGTCCTTTTCTTGCCTAATCGCTATTGCAAGTACTTCCAGTGTTGTGTTAAACAGAGATGGTGATAGTGGGCATCCTTGTCTTGTCCCTGATCTTAGAGGAAAGGCCCTTAGTTTTTTTCCATTGAGGATAATGATTGCCATGGGTTTGTCATAGATGGTTTTGACTATCTTGAGGAAAGTTCCTTCAAAATCCACTTTGGTGAGAGTTTTTACCATAAACGGGCACTGGATCTTGTCAAAAGCTTTCTCTGCATCTATTTATATGATCATATGGTTTTTATCTTTACTTATGTTGATATGATGGATTATGTTGATTGATTTCTGAATGTTAAGCCATCCTTGCATCCCCGGGATGAATCCCACTTGGTCGTGGTGTATATGCTCTTTTTGATGAGTTTTTGGATTCTGTTTGCTAATATTTTGTTGAGGAGCTTCGCATCTGTGTTCATCAGGGATAGTAGTCTATAGTTTTCTTTGTTGGTGGTGTCTTTGTTTGATTTACGTATTAGGAATATATGTGCCTCATAGAAGCTGTTTGAGAGATTTCCTGTTTTTTCAATTTCCTGGAAAAGCTTGAGGAGAACTGGCAAAAGGTCTTCTTTAAATGTTCAGAAGAATTCACCAGTGAATCCGTCTGCGCCTGGGTTTTTGTTTTTGGCAAGACTTTTGATTACCGCTTCAATTTCCTTGATATGAATGGGTCTATTGAGGTATCCCAAGTCTTCCTGGTTCAATCTTGGGAGATTATAGGAATCCAGGAATTTATCCATTTCTTCTAGGTTCTATTATTTCGTGGCATACAGACTTTCAAAATAGTTCTGATGGTCTTTTGAATTTCATTGGTTTCTGTTCTGATGTCCCCTTTCTCATTTCTGATTTGGTTTATTAGGGCTCTCTCTCTCTTTTTCTTTGTGAGTCTTGTGGTTTATCCATCTTGTTTATTTTCTCAAAGAACCAGCTTTTGGTTTCATTGACCTTTTGAATTGTTTTTTTTGCCTTTCCATGTCATTAATTTCTGCTCTAAGTTTCATTATTTCTTTCCTTCGGCCGGGCTTGGGTTCCTTTTGCTGGTCTTTTTCTAAGATCTTGAGCTGTGTGGTTACGTTATCTATCTTCTTTCCTTAGGAATGCTTGCAGCGCTATAAATGTTCCTCTTAGCATGGCTTTAGCTGTGTTCCATAGGTTCTGGTAGCTCATGTTTTTATTCTCGTTTCTTTCCAGATATCTTGATTTTGTCTTTGACTTACTTCCTGACCCACTCATTGTTCAACATTGAGTTGTTTAATTTCCAGGTGTTTGATTTGTTTCTCAATGTCTTTGTGTGATTCGCTTCTATCTTAAGAGCATGATGCTCTGAAAAGATTGTTGATACTACTTCTGTCTTTCTGATTCTATTGAGGTATGTTTTGTGGCCTAGCACGTGGTCTATTTTGGAAAAAGTTCCGTGTGCACTGGAGAAGAATGTGTATTTTTTCTTTTGGAGGTGTAAAGCCCTGTATAGGTCTATTAGCCCACTCTCTTCTATTTCTTCCTTCAAAGCCAATGTTTCCTTGTTGAGTTTTCTTCTTGTTGATCTATCCAGAGGTGAAAAGATGATGTTGAAGTCTCCAACTACTATTGTATTGTTAGCAATGTCCTCCTTAAAATCTGTTAGAATTTTTTTTTAACTATTTAGCTGTCCCTTCATTAGGTGTGTATACATTTAAGAGTGTGATTTCTTCCTCTTGTACGTATTCCTTGATAAATAGAAAATGGCCTTAGCTGTTCCTTCTGATCTTTTTCAACATGAAATTTATGTTGTTAGATACTAGTATGGCCACCCCAGCTTTTTTGAGGGAGCTGTTTTCTTGCAGAATTTTTTTCCATCCTTTAAGTTTGAGTCTGTGTTTGCTCTGATTGTTCAGATGAGTTTATTGTAGACAGTATAATGTTTCAGTTTATGGATCCATTTTGCCACTCTGAGTCTCTTGATTGGTGCATTTCGACCATTGACATTGAGAGAGATTATTGTCATGGGGTTTTGTGCCATCTTTCTGTAGGGGTTGGTTAAGTGTTTTCCTTCTTATCTTACAGGAGCCCCTTTAAACCTTCTTTTAGATTTGATTTTGAGTCTATGAAGTTCCTGAGCTGTTGTTTATCTACAAAATGGTGTATCGTTCCATCAAGTTTGAGTGAGAGTTTAGCCAGATAAAGTATTCTTAGTGAGGCATTCAGTTCACTGAGTTTTTTCACTATATCCCACCATTGTCTTTGGACTTGGAGGGTTTCCTCTGATAGGTCTGCTGTGAATCGAAGGGGTGCTCCTTTGTATGTGATTTCCTTCTTTGACCTTGCTGCTTGCAGTATTGTGTCTCTGTCCATAGCATCCATCATTCTGACTATTATATGCCTTTGAGTGTTTTTATTTGGGTCTCTTTTAGCTGGCACTCTTCTGGCTCCTTGGATCTGTATGTCTGCATTCTTTAACTCTGGAAACTTTTCAGCAATGATTTCTTTGACTGTGGTTTTTTATAGTCCCATACAAGTTTATATTTGACCATTTAGGTTCTTGAAGAACAACATTGGAATTTGCGATTGCATTGAATCTATATAATAATTTAGATAGGATGGTCATACTGACAACATTGATTCTTTCAAATAATCACACATAACTTTTTCCCTCCATTTCCTAGAGTTTACTTCTATGTCTTTCATAAGTTATTTATAGTTTTCATGTTTTAGGCCTCACATCTTTTGTTAAGTTGACTCTTAGATAATTAATGGTTTGAATACTAAATATCTTTGATCATGTTTTTTTGGACTACACCTTGTGGTGTTCAAGACTTACTCCTGGTTCTATGCTCAGGGAATACTCCTGATAGGCTCAGGGTAACCATATGGAATAGATCAAACTTGGGTTAGCTGGCAAATGTCCTGTTGACTGTACTATTGCTCTTGTCCAAAATGTCTTTTACTCTTAGTATTAAAATTAAGTTAAATATCCTTGCCATATCTTTGTTTTTCCATTAAAATGACTACTTCATATGTGATATTAACTTTTACCCCTTTCAATCTTGTTATAAGTTCCAATTATGAAAGTCTTATTTTAGCTTTCTACAAATTCAGGTAGCTTCAATAGCTTCAACTGTAAAGATTTTGTAACTCAACTTTTAATGACTATGGGACTCACTTTTTTTTTTCCCTTTATTGTATTTTATTTTTTTTTTAAAGTTGTAGATTTACAATTTTTTGTGCTTTGGTTTCAATTATACAATGATCAGATACCCATCCCTCCACCAGTGCCCATTTTCCACCACCATGGATAATATCCCTCCCACCCCCATCCCCCCATCCCCCCTGTGTCTGTGGCAGGGCAATCCCCTGTGTTCTCTCTCTCCTTTTGGGTGTTGTGGTCTGCAAAAGAGGCATTGAGTGGCAAACATGTTCAGTCCATAGTCTACTTTCTACATGCATCTCCCCTCCTGGGAGGATCCTCCAAACATCCTTTATTTGGTGCTCCCTTCTCTATCTGAACTGCCCTTTCCTCTAGGATACCCGGCTGGCCTCTAAGTTATGGAGTAATCCTCCTGGTGCTGATCTCAGCTATTCTTGGGTATTAATCTCTTACTTTGTTACTTTATATCCCCCAGATGAGTGCAATCTTTCTATGTCTATCCCTCTCTTTCTGACTCATTTCGCTTAGCATGATACTTTCCATATTGTACCACTTGTATGTAAATTTCATGACTTCATCTTTTCTAAGAGCTACATAGTACTCCATTGTGTAGATGTACCAAAGCTTCTTTAACCAGTCATCTGTTCTTGGGCACTCAGGTTTCTTCCAGTTTCTGGCTATTGTAAAGAGTGCTGCAATGAACAAACAAGTGCAGATGTCACTTCGACTATACATTTTTGCCTCTCTGGGATATATTCCCAGGAGTGGTATTGCTGGGTCAAATGGGAGCTCAATTTCTAATTTTTTGAGAATCGTCCATACTGTTTTCCAGAAGGGCTGAACCAGTGGACATTCCCACCAACAGTGAAGGAGTATCCCTTTCTCGCCACATCCACGCCAGCATCGGTTGCTTTTGTTCTTTTGAATGTGGGCTAGTCTCTGAGGTGTGAGATGGTATCTCATTGTGGTTTTGATCTGCATCTCCCTGGGACTCACTTTTTAAGCTAAGCTCTTTTTATTTTAAGAATTGATAGTTTTTCCTGGAATTCCTAAAAGTATTCATTAACACAATGTTAATTTTCTAGTCACTTGATAGATAAAAGTCATTATAGTATTTCTTGTCCCAAGACACAAAATCATCTATCTTCTGAGTCTTGGATCTTTTTAGATGATAAGAATATGTTCTATTTGATTCTAAAGATTTCCAAAGGATATGGTGATTGGTCAAAGGATTTCTGATGCTTTTTTGAATTATTTTTACCAACACAGATCTGCAGATCTCATGCCTTTGAAGGATCTCAGCTCACATTCAGTTTTACTTTTGACTTCTTGGAATGTTGTGCTCTTTTCTGCCAGAATATTCTTTCATTGACTACTTAAAATTCTGTTAAATAAACATATAAGGAGCTTGAAATACTCTGGATTTAACTAAGATAATTTAAAGAGCTTTCAATAAAATAATTCATTTTTCAAGTATATACTGAGCATCTACTCTGATCTAAAACCCTAGGGTAGAGTCCTATGTAAATTGCGGAGCTTAAATATTAGGAGGACAAGCATTAAACAAATAAATAAATAATGAATCATAACACATTATGGTGAGTATCATTACATTTCAAATGCCAGGGTATTTGAGAGAAAGTGATTGGAGGTATCTGATCTAGACGAGGACCTCTCTGAGGACATGAATATTTTGTGACTTAAAAAGATCAATAAATGTCACCCAGACATAGGTTAGGGTGACTATCATGGAAGGAAGAGTCTGCACTAGATTCCTGAAGTGGACTTAGCTAACTTAGTCTGAGTTTGTGTGCCTGGAGCATGATGATCAAGGAAGAGATGGCAGGAGGAGTCACTGCTTCATCGCAGAAATAAAGGGCTTTAAACAAGGGTACCACAATACTCATTAATCTACATCTTGAAACAAACATCATGAAGAAGTTTGGGGAAGGGACCAGAGAAAGAAATTCCACCAGTGGGAAATCTATTGCACTAGCCTGTCAAGACCTGATGGTGGCTTAGGTGAGGGCATGGAATTAGTTGCAGAGAAGTGGATGGAATCTACAGCACTTGCTACTGCTGTTGCGCTCTCTCTCTCTCTCTCTCTCTCTCTCTCTCTCTCTCTCTCTCTCTCTCTTTCTCTCTCTCTTTCTCTCTCTGTATGTGTAGTGAGGATGAGGAAATGAGGAGGGCAAAAGTTATTGTCAGAAGTAACTTTGAATGTTATTTGAAGAACTGCATGCACAATGGTGCTGTCATTCTCTTAAACTGGGAAGAGAATGGAGGATGTTTGAGAACTCACCATACTAAATATTAATCAAATATTTTTTAAATGAATAAATCAAATGTATTAATACAAGTGCCTATTTTTTCAAACCTTGGACAATACTGGGTATAATAGTTCCTGAATGAGTGAATAAAGGATAACACTGTAGCACTGTCCTCCCATTGTTCATCAATTTGCTGGAGCGGGCACCAGTAATGTCTCACAACAAATTGTAAGACTTGTTACTGTTTTTGTCATATTGAATATGTCATGGGGAGCTTGCCAGGCTTTGCCATGCGGGCAAGATGCATTCGGTAGCTTGCTGGGCTCTCTGAGAGGGACAGAGGAATCAAACCCGGGTGGGCCGTGTGCAAGGCAAATGCCCTACCTGCTGTGCTCAGGATTTTCTATTTTAAAAAAGTTTGTTTTGGGGGTGCAGGGCATAACACCATGTAAGGGGTCAATGTGCTTTGTGTGGGATTGAACATGGGGTTTTCAAATGCAAAGAGCTGCATTCCAGCTCTTTGACCTAACTCCTTGGTCTGAAAATTTTATTTCTTGCTTGGTTAAACTAATAATAAAGCAAGTGCCAAGCAATTTTACCTTCGGAAAGAAAGAAGGAATGATAGGAGCTTCATATTTTTTGTTGTTTGTTTTTGGCAGAAAATAGAGAGTTGATTTTTCTTTTGTACCTTGGCGGCTGTTCAAATTTGAACCTTTCTGTATGAATCAGATGTCAGCTCCTGACCTGCCCACTCTATCTTTTACATCTTTTCAGATGCGTGTGACATCACCTTTGACCCTGATACTGCTCACAGATACCTCCGGCTGCAGGAGGATAATCGCAAGGTCACCAATACTACACCATGGGAACATCCTTACCCAGACCTCCCCAGCCGTTTCGTGCACTGGCGGCAGGTGCTGTCCCAACAAAGTCTATACCTGCACAGGTACTATTTTGAGGTAGAGATTTCTGGAGCAGGCACCTATGTTGGCCTGACCTGTAAAGGCATTGACCGAAAAGGAGAAGAACGTAATAGCTGCATTTCTGGAAACAATTTTTCTTGGAGCATCCACTGGAATGGGAAGGAGTACACAGCCTGGCACAGTGACTCAGAGACACCTCTCAAAGCCAGCCCTTTTCGGAGGCTAGGGATCTATGTCAACTTCCAGGGAGGAAGCCTCTCCTTCTATGGGGTAGAGCCTGATGCTATGACTCTGGTTCACAGATTTCAGTGCAAGTTTTCAGAGCCTGTCTACCCTGCATTCTGGCTTTCCAAGAAGGAAAACACCATCCGGATTGTGGATTTGGGAGAAGAACCTGAAAAGATAGGACCAATCTCTGCAGGAACTATGTCCTAGATTCCCAGATTTTTGCTCGAGGCTGCACGGTTGCCTATGTTTTAAATTATTCTCAAGTGATCAAGTCTCCTTCTAATGATATATTTATGTCAGACAAGTTAACATCACATTGTATTCAGAATCAGTAACCAGGACTCTTCAGAGCAATCAAAAAGACTGTACACAATTGTAATAAATTTCTAACTTGTGTATTTCCTATGTCTTAGAGACTGTTCTAAGTGTTTCCTGTCTTTTATTTCACTCACCCCACACTCCCATTGTGTAAATGCTCACAACAGCTCCTTTTTGCAGATGGGAAATCAGAGAGCTAAGGTAGTTAGCTAATTTTCTCAAGGTCACTTGTGGTGACACAGTAAATGAATGGTAGCATTTAAGTTCAAACGTAGACCAGACACTACACTTCTTTAAGAGGAAGGGCCTTCCCATGTGGTGCTCAGGAGGCCGTGGTCCTACCTAAGACTCTTAATCAACTGGACTGGGGTTCAATGCAAGGACCTGAGGATGTCTTGCTGTTTGGACCCTGTGGTGCTGGAGATTACTGGGGTCATCCACATGGTGTTTGCCAAGCCCGGTGGTGTTTGGTTGCACCATTGGTTTGTGAGGGCCCTTGTGGTGCTAGAAATCTACCCTCTGTACTATCTGACATTGAAAATTTAACCACTACACAACGCTTTTTATTAGATGATAGGTGTTGCATATAAGGTAACCATCTATAAATAAGTTACACACATAATGCCCTTTTACAGTTTGCAAGTGTCTTGGCATTTCCTGTGTTTCATGGGACCATGCAGCTATGCAGAGACAGAAAATTTACTGTGTCAAACACAGAAACTTATCTTAGTTTTATCTATTTGACATAAACTGGGTTTTATTGAGGAACTCCCCAAAGAATGAGAGAAGAATCCAATTAAATAAAGGAATAGAAACTATATACTCCAAACTAGGATGCTGGAAATTCCAGAACAGTGTTTCTCTTGCTATTTTGGAGAGAATTATAACCAACATCTAACTGTGTTCAAAATTCAGTCCCTGTTACTTCTAGGGAGGTCACAGAAACTTTACAGGCTGCTGGTCCCATACACTTCCCATTCTTCTCTTCTAAAGCCATCTAGACTACACAGGTTTATAGGATTTATCTTCAAAGAATGTTTCTTTAAACCTTTGAAAGCAGTTTCATATATTCTAGGGAAGTATCCTTGTGTTCATAACTTATTTTCCATTTTCCCTCTTGGTTTCTAGATCACTCACTGCTTGATTTTTTTCACACTTCTTCTGACATTTAGATTTCATAAGATGAATGGCAGATATTAATCAAGCTTCCAGACAGGTGATAAACCACTTTTCAATGAATTTCCACTCTTCTAAGAAACCACTATAGAATTTCACCAGAAATATAACCTATGGGTCTCTTGTGATCTGTATCAAGTCATGATTTCTTGGGTTTCTCATGAGTTCATTATTTTGGCTGGAGCAATAGCACAGCGGGTAGGGCGTTTGCCTTACAAGCAGCCAACATGGCTGACCCGAGTTCGATTCCTCCGCCCCTCTCAGAGAGCACAGCAAGCTACTGAGAGTATCTTGTCCACACGGCAAAGCCTGGCAAGCTACCCGTGACATATTTGATATGCTAAACACAGTAACAATTGTCACAATGGAGATGTTACTGGGCCCGCTCGAGCAAATCGATGAACAATGGGAGGACAGTGACAGTGACAGTGACAAATATTTCTATGGATATATTTATATATTTATATTTGAAAATTTATACAGGATAATACTTGATATTTGTTTTATTTAAATCGTATTACATCAGTACTGTCTGTAATAATCTTCATTCACGAATATTTTTCACTCATCATTCAACATACAAGTGACTAGGTTTTTATAGTCTAGTGTCACCTATATAATTGACACTTAAAAAAAAGCTTATTGAGTCATACCTGGTGGTGCTCAGGAGTTACTCCTGGCTCTGCATTCAGAAATTATTTCTGGCAGTACTCGGGGATATGGGATGCTGGGGATCGAATCCAGGTCAGCCATGTGCAAGGCAAATGTGCTGCCCTTTGTACTATCATTCCAGCCCCATAATTGGCACTTGTTTATCCTTAGTCTTAACCTAATCCATTAATGGGAGTAAGGTGAAAGAAAGTTCTTGCAGCACTTAGTCAATCATATAGGTGTTATACAAGAATATATGTGATGGTAGAACTCTGCAATAATGTAACCCACCTTGCCCCTTTAATTACTAGACCCTATGAAAGGCTGCCTAACTGCCTGCCCTTCCTCCCTGACCCCCTTACTTTTATCCTTCCTTCCTTCTTTCCTGTGCCAGGATTTGAACTCAGGTTGGTCCTGTGCAAAAGGCAACCACCATACCTGCTATACTATCTCTCTGCAACTGAAGGACTTTTTCAAAAGCAAAAGTACAAATGTAATTTTTCAATAGTTTCTCTCCCTGCACGTCTCATAATGCTATCACCTCAAAAGAGAGCATGACATTAACTTGATTTGCCTTGTTTTGATTGAACCCTTACATGCTGTTAGTGCTGGCTACTTACTTTCTAAGTGCTCATGAAATACTTTATAAACCATTGTAGAATTGTGCTGTGGGTTAATATCAAATTTAAAAGTCCATTGTTTACAGAGCTATTTTGTTTTTCTTTTCAAAAACTAAGACAATTTTGTCTTTCCTCATGCTTTATTACCCTCTTTAATTCTTTTTTATATTTTTGCTTTTTGGGTCACACCTGGCGATGCACAGGGGTTACTCCTGGCTCTGCACTCAGGAGTTATTCCTGGCGGTGCTCAGGGGACCATATGGGATGCTGGGAATCGAACCCGGGTCAGCCGCATGCAAGGCAAATGCCCTACCTGCTATGCTACCTCTCCAGCCCCCTCTTTAATTATTCTATTATTATTATTATTATTATTAGTTTTGGGCCTATACCTGGTTAGACTCATAGGATTTCTCCTCACTGAACTCAGGAATGGTGGTTCTTGGGGGACCATATGAGATATTTGGATTAAACCTGGTAGGCCATGTTCAAGTCGTTACCTGCTGAACTATCTCTCTAGCCTTCCTCTTTAATTTTTAAACTGTCTGGATTTTAATTATACTTAACAAGTGTGTCCATGCGTAACTTGTAATTTGTTTAGGAGAGAGTGCTCAAACTTATAAAAGGAAGTCTTTGGGCATCTCCTTACTTGTCTCTCCCGTCCCCTCCCACAGCCCCCACCCTTCCGCCTTCCTCCTGCCCCCACTTTATTTAAACACTGTGGTTTACAAAGTTGTTAATGATGATTTGTTATAAGCAGTCAATGTTCCAACATTCCAACACCAATCCCACCACCGCAGTCACCATTGTCTCTGTTTTTCCAACCAGCCCTCAATCCTGCCCCCATGGCAGGCCTACAATAATTTATTTTATTTTGCTTGTTACCCATAAATGGCTAACAGAATGATCCAAAAATTAGTGAAAATTGTTTATTTCGTCATCATGATATTAAGTCTTTGACTGAATTTTACATGATAGTAAGTCCTTCTCTAACAGTTAAACTTCTAGGTGGTATGGTGCTGCCAGCAGGTCAATCTGTACCTGTGAGGCGAGTGTATCAGCAGCCTGATGGCACCGTCAGACTTCAAGGTACCCCCAAATTGCTGTTGTGCCTTTGGCCAGACCCCAAAAACTTGGGGCAAGGTTTACCAAGAAAGTAAAAGGCCAAAAGTTAGGTAAGTGGGAGACACACCCACAAACCACCTCCGGCTCAGCTATATAATTGGAGGCATGGCCTCTCTGGTTCCTGATTGAACTGCTTAACGGCCATGATCCCAGAGACTCAGAAACGAACCTCGGAACCCAAAAGCTTTCAGCAGAAATGCATCCTGTTCCTGCAGTAGGTTACTGGGGCTGGGCCACTCCAGATGGGAATAGGTTTTGTGCCTTGGCCTGTTCTCTTTGGCGGCCTGGTGACCACCATCCTCCAAAGGCCACTGGACAGTCAGGTTTGGGCCTGCAGTGACGAGACACACGGTTCCTCACCAGATGGGGGTGGAACCGGCCCTTTCCTCCCTGTCCCAGCAAGACCCCGAGTCGCCACCTACAGGCGGCCTCTCTGGCTCCTGATCAAGCTGATTTGTGGCCATGATGCCAGAGACTCAGAAATAAATCTTGAAACCCAGCAGCTTTTGGCAGAAATACATCTGGACTACATACAAGTTGGCCACCGCCTCAGAGCTTATTGGAAAGCCAAGTATGAGCCGGCGGTGACAGGACAACTGCAGTCTCATGGGAAGGTGGGCGGTACTGACTCATCCTTCACACCCTACAGAGGTCACGAGTTGCTCCCCATGAGCCGCTCTCCGGCACAGCTGTAACACCAGTCACACAGAAACCAATCTTGTAATTATTTGGCTCTTTGCAAAAATCCAAAATCATTATATGATTCTCATAACCAGCTATAGAAAAAGTATTTCACAATGCCTTTTCAGCAATTCTGATTGTTGGGGGGGGGGGGGGGAACTCTAAACAATAGTGGTGCATCTTTTGTTGAAATAATGAATGTAATCAATGTAGAGAAGAGTTAAGTGGAAATCATCTGCTTCACAGGCATTTGGAGGGTAGGGAGGGGGGTATATTGGGGTTCTTGGTGATGAAAAACGAGTACTGGTGAAGGGAGATGTGTTTGATCATTGTATGACCGAGACTTAAACCTGAAAACTTAGTAACTTTTTCCACAGTGATTCAATAAGTAAGTATAAGAAGAAAATAATAAATAAATAAAATTATGAAAAAAAAGTTAAATTTCTGTGTTAATGTATTAATTGAGATTGTTTGGCTTCTACATTCTACCTCATCCATTCTGGTGTGCTACTATTGGATTGTCAGTGTTTTAGACTTTGGGGATGTTGCTTGACCACATTCGTGCTCCAGAAAAATTTAGTTTTTAATTGGTCAGCCCAGCTGTAGTCAAATTTAGAATTGCTGAGTTTACATGGTGGTGGAGGTGGTTTGTAGGTGTGACTGCCTGGGTTTCCAGAACTACAGAGAAGTGGAGGTGGGTAGGCCATCCCAATTCTGAGAGGGCATGGAGCTTTCAGTCATAGGGACCTGTGAACCTGAAGTTTTGGCAGGGTTAAGTTCTCTGTGAGGTTCAGTTGTCCTGAGGTAGTGGAGTCTGATCAGAGATATGGAAACAGCTTTGGGGCATGCCAGGACTTTGTTTTAGTCGGTCCTGGCCTGCCCCCATGTGA